TCCCCCACAGCCCTCCCGGGGCTCCCTCACGGCCCCGCGGGCTGCTCGGGGCTCCCCCACAGCCCTCCCGGGGCTCCCTCACGGCCCCGCGGGCTCCCCACGGGCTCCCGCGCCCGCAGACCCCACACCGCTGCCTGCGCGAGCGGGGCCGGAGCTGTGGGTTCCCCCGGTGCCCGCGTTTGTGCCGTGCCCAGACAAGCGGCTGCTTCCCCCGCCAGGCCAGGCCGCCCGCAGTGGGCGGGCATCTCTAGGGCCAGTGCAAGGATCAGCGATTTTATCCCATGGATTTAACACATGCCGGCCGCCTCTGCCGCACAATACAGATGGGATACCCAGGCTGGTGGATTTGCACCAGGCAAAGTCCTGCTCAGGAGCAGCGATGCTATCTATACACAAGAGACCAAAGTGCCCAGACCTCGGCAGCATTAATTTCTTCAATGCTACTGAATAGGAAGAAAAACCCTGTGAAAGGCTTGAATACCTTGAGGATGCATAATGGTATCAGTTAGTGAAAGTTATTAATGAAAGTTACTAATGAAAGCTTATCAGACCCCTACCCACAATACCAAGAGGGGCTGCTCTGCTCTTGGACAACTGGGAAGATGTCCAGCCTTCTCCATTGCCCCATCTGGCCTGCACTCAGTTCTGATTTTCTGCATATCAGACACTGGGGTCACTTCCATCCCAATATCCAGTTTTTTCAAGCCAAGATAAATATGAGTTAATATGCTTACTTCAAGGATAACACCATGGCAAACAAATAAGCACATTCCAATGTGGAAATTAAGTGTCTTTATTCAGCAAGCATGTAATAGTGACCTGAAATTATTCAATCGATGAAATGTGTCAAACTATCTGCTTACACCTCCAAGTGCACAGACAGTGAAAAGAGAAAAGGAAAAAAAAAATAATTCAAGTCACTTTTATTCCTCAGTCGAAGAAAAACAATGCTTTTGCTCAAATGTATTCTCACACCCCCTAAGGCCCAGGCAGTTCATCCACTTCCACCAGTCTCTTGCAGGGATAAACTTGTGTGATTTACCTAAAAATTACCAGTAAATAAATCCAGTGGATTTTCAGCACTGAGGGAGGTTTAACTGCCAGTCTGTGCTCTTGGACCACTTCTTCACTGGAGAATGCTTAGCAACAAAGGCTAAATGCTGCAAGAAAATAAGGATTCCTTCTGGTGAGTCCTGCTTGACCCACCTAACCAAGGGCTTTACTGGGAAATACAGACCTGCACAGCAACCTGGGCTGTGCAGGGATGGAGCAGGAGGGAACCTTAATCTCACCAAGATGCACTGAGTGCTCTGAGTGCTGAAATCTGGGCCAGTAACACAGCCACTCACAGCAAGTGACATGGTTACATTTTTATTTTCCACAGGTCATAAGCACAGAAATCCTGGAGGCTGGAAGGAGAGTGGGTCAGTGCCCTCTCTGCAGAGCAGCATCCCCTCTCCAGGTAAGAGGTAGGGGGATGCCAAAGGCAAACTGCTGGGGTAGAGTGCTGGCCAGAGCTGGCAGGACTCCAGACACTTCTGCTGCCAGCGGGGAAAAAGGAGCCAGAGAGGACAGATGTGTGCAGAGGATACACTTTGGTGACTAACCCAGAGCAGAGGCAGGCAGGTTGAAATTTCTTATCTGAGCTGGAGGAAACTCCTAAAGGAAAGCCAGCCTCAAGCTTGTGCTCAAAATAAAACACAACCTCTTTGATGTTGCATAAAGAATTTAAAATGTATTCTTTGTGTTAGAGTAATATTCCTTGTAAACCAAGGATTTCTAGTTAGTTGTGCTACCCCACAGGCTACAGGCGACCCTTTGGAACTACTTAAATAGATAATTTTTATATCTTTATGTTTATTTATGAAACAGCCACCTCTTGTGCTGCAGTCCACCTCCAATATGTGCCACCATGCCTGTGGAGATGTCCCAGGTAAGATGGCCCCTCCTGTAACCCCATCTAACAGCAGCCACACCGTAGTGCCCACCTGCCACCCCCTCCAACCCAGGCATCCCTCAGTTAGCCTATGAGCACCAGGACAAGCCAGAGGGACAGGTCTTGCTCCCAAATCCCACTCTGATCTAGATGCCAGCCCTATCAGTACCTTTCATGTTACTCTTGCCACTCAAGCTGGGTTGTTACTGCATTCTTCTGTTACATTCAAGCCTTTTCAGTAGCTGGTAGATCCGAGAGCTCACATTTAGTCCCACTGCAGTCTCCAAGCCACTGTGTTTCTTGGTTGTTTTTTTAGGTTTTTGGGTGATTTTTTTGTGTGTGTGTGTGTGTATTTTTGGGGGGGATTTTTTTGTTTGTTTTTGAGTTGGTTTGGTTTTGTTTTGTTTTTAATAACAAAGAGGATGGGAACTTCCAAGCACCAATAAAGCAGGAAAACAAGGCAGCAGAATCATTCTGCCATTGAGGCCAGCCCCAGCAAGCTCAGCAGGGAACTTTGCTCAGAATTAGAAAACATTTCAAACATTCTTCAAACAGGTGGCTGCATTTCACACTCCAAGTCCCAACGTCATATTGCCCAGGATGTGGGGTACATCCCCAAAGGGCTTCTCAGAAGCCCAGTGTCCAGCTGCAGCTCCAGGTGCCCCAGGGCAGCAGGGCACAGCAGGGAATGGCTCTCTGGCACAGACCCGCGGTGCTGGTGGCAGCTACAAAAGCCCTGACGAGTTCAGCCAAGCAGCTTTTCCCTGGAGCTGTGGGTCCTTGGAGGAGAGGGCCTGCACCAGCTCCTCCTCCTGTTGCTCCAAATCTACTGGGCAGGTCTGGGATGTGGACTGTGTTGGATGCCCAGCAGCTCTAGGTGCCTGTGCCTCCAGCAGCTTCTTCACAGTTTCCACTGGGGGAAAGGCTGGCCAGAGCCACTTCTTCCTCAGGGTCCTGCAGGTCATCTGCAGGGAGCAGAGAGAGGTCAAGGCAGACCTGAATGGAAAACCCCTCCACACAGAAAATGCAGCTTAAGATGAAAAGAAAGCATGGGATGAAGCAATTGATATATACTCACAACCTAAGCACAACTGATTTTTTTTCAAAACTGGTTTTCATTTTGTTTAACAAACTTAACATTGCTTCAGCAAATAGAGTAAAGGAACACAGGGCCAAGCTCCTGGCTTCTTGAAGTCTCAGTAATCTCAAAATAAGTTACATGGCCACAGGGTATTGCCTGCCTGGCACTGACAGCAAAGTCAGGCACTTCAGTTTTCTGACCATGGAGAGTGGGTCTCACAAACCTCATATGTCTCACATGTCTCAAAGCTGCATAAATTGGGCATTCATTTCAGTTGTTTTGTCTGACTCTTATGCTCTTTAAGTATTCTATATATTTAAGAGGCATTTGGACAAGGCCTTTAATAACATCAATTAAAATGTGGTCAGCCCTGAAGTGGTCAGACAGTTGGGCTAGATGATTATTGTAGGTCCCTTTCAAGAGAAAATACAGCACTCTAGTCTAGTCTAGTCTAGTCTAGTCTAGTCTTATTACAGTGAAAGAGCTTTCCCTCCTCTTTGTGCTTCACAGTACAACCTGGATCTCCACATCACAAGCCTTGTAGCTTCCTGCATGAGGCACTCCTGAAAAAAGAAAGTCACTGCTGGGAAGTGCAAGCCAAAGTGCCAGCCATACACAAAGGCTGAATGCTATGCTATGTGTTACCTGAACAATTTCCTTTAGAATTGGGGAGCCCACAGCTGGCTGCCCTCTCCCTTCTCCCTGCCAGCCTCAAAAGCAAATGTTTTGGGAATACTCCTTCCACCCATGTTTGCAGAAAACATCCCATAATATCAAGGTCCTTCCAATTAACTGATTAGACAGAGAGTAGTTCTGCTTCCAGGCATTCAAACAAAATGCAGCTGAGTTCAGCAGTGCTACCAGGGCTGAAGCACTCCTGAACTTGTATTTGGGCACCAGACTCAGCGTGGTTTTCTTTAGACAAGCAGAAGGTCACAAAACAAGGAGATGGCAACAAAGCAGATGTATGTGCTGGTTGTCATGAGGTTTGGGCTAAACCACAGCCAGGGAAGCAAGGCCAACTGCAGGGGTGGAAGTAGCTGGAAGAGGCTACCTGAAAGGGGCTTGGGCACCAGAACCATTAGGCAATCATGAAGAATTTCTGACAATCACAGCAGAGTACAAGGGAGGGAGCTGGGCATACCTTCATGAACGTTGTTTTCAGCTTTTGCTTTGTAATCTTTTCTCCAGCTCCTCTGATTCCAATAAATGCACTGCAGGAATGATGGCAGCCTCCACCTCTCCCTGACTTTCATGTCTTCTGAATAAACCAGAGAAGATGGGTTCAGACTGGTAGCAGGTCAGCCCTGCTGCTTCTTCACCTCTCCCTCCATGAGCCTGGCAACAAAACCAGATCCTAGCAGTAAAACCAGGTCCACTCCACAAAACCCACCACCAGAAAGCACAGAGCAGCTCCTGGCAGTCCTTATTTTTGGCTGAAACCTCTCTGCTGCCCTGGAAATTTGTCCCTGGTGTCGGTTTCTACTTTGCCACCCCGCTGCCAGAAACAACCTGGATGTGGCAGCCAAGAGTGAGCAAGAAACCTGTCAGGAGCCCAGCTGGCAAACATGGTGAGGCTGGGGACTGACACAGAGAACTCCCACAGAAGGAAGTTTTCCTTTTGCATTGTCACACAACTTCTACCATATCAACCTGTTTACTATTCCCTGTTTCATGAAGCAATCCTCCCTCCCATGGAGACCTGCTGGACATGGGGTCTTGCAGCAGCACACTGAAAACTGCAGCTGTAACTGCTTGCAAATTGCAGAGAGCATGTGGTCAATGTATGGTAATTATTCTAGAAGATAACAAAGTTACTACAGACTTTCCATCCATTTTAGTAAAACACTACATCAGCCTGTAAAATACTACACCAGCAAAATTTTATACTGTTTCCAACAGCAGGAGTTCAGTATCCCCATTGAAATATTATCCAGTCTTTCACCACCTAATCAGATAACAAATGATGAACCAACTTCAGTGTCCTTCACTTTATCAAGCCATTGCGACACTAAAGGGCTCAGTGTCTTTCTGGCAGTCAACAAACAAAAAACTCCAGTGCACTGCCTTGGGGTGCACTGCCTGAAGTGTTCAACTGCTCTTTGGAGGCACAGCTACACTTGGGATCCCTCTGTCCAGGTGGAGATTTTGGAAGGCAAAGCTCACAGAAGCATGGAAAGGAGCTGTCCCTGCCTAAGGTTGAACCCTGAAGGTGATGAGTGTCCTCATTACACACACTGGGACACTTACATGACTCAGAGCACCAGGCAGAGCATTAGAAGTGAGTGAGCACACACAAGCAGGCTATAACATCCAATCCAGCCCCTCCTGCTCCTCATTATACACAGCCAGCCACAAAAATACATATACTGAGCAAAGCACCAGCAAAGTGCCAAGGAAGAAAGAGGTATGCAGGGATGATTTTATGTCTCTGCAGCTGCTGTCCCACCAGAACTGGAGGATTTGCAGGTGTCTGGGAGCACACCAGAAATTTTTGCAGCAGGAACAATGTGAGGAAGCAAAAAGCATGTGAAAGGAGAGAAGCTAGAAAGAGAATTGTGTGTGCCTCAGTAGAGAGGTGGCAGAAGACAGCCCTGTGCCCTTGCCACCAGCCACCTCAAAGCTCCTCAGCATTCAGATCCAAGATTCTGGGCTGAGCTGATAGAAAGAAGCACCTGAACTGCAGCAAATCATCCCCATGTGCCAAGGATCCCAGAAGACCCTGTCAGCCCTGTGGTGCTGGAGGCAAGAGGCAGGATCCCTCGAGGTAAAGCCAGCAAGACAGCAAAACACCCAAGCCCCTGGAAATGCTGGGGAGCAAGGTAAAAGTGGGAAAAAATGAAAGAAGGGAGGAGGACAGGGAAACAGCCCAAGACAAACAGTACCAAAGATTAAAATGTTTTATGTGGCAGCTTAGAGAGCAGAACCTGCCCAGCTGCCCATCACCCTGCATTGACACACAAACCCAACTCCCCTTTCGCCCCAGGGCAAATGCTGTCCTCAGGCCTGGCTGACACCCAGCTTTCATCCTGCCATCCTCACATACAGTTTTACAAGCAAAAAACAACTTGCTTTTGTTAATTATTCATTATGCAAAATCAGCACAAGCATCCTCCTTCTGCAGGAAGGTCAGGTCCTGCCTGCGCCCTATGGCACAGGCCACATCCCAGTCCTGCTTTCCCCAAGAACACACATCCGATAAGCATGGAAGGCCACCATGTCATGGATGGCCACAATGTCACAGCTGTCAGCTGCCATGTCCCTGTTCTCCATAAGCTACTCTAGTTTCCCAGACTGCTGGGAAATTTGTCTGCCCTGGCTGTCAGGTCTGGGAACCTCACCAGAACGAGGCAGATCCCATTGGAAAGGCTCTGATCCCACCAGCATGAAAGAGATTTCATTGGGAAAAGGTAGATCAGATTGTGTGTGTGTAAAGATCCCATCAGTAGTGAGTGGTCCAATCCCAATGGGAAAAGCCAGATCCCATTGGGTCAGGAGAAGCTCCCACCAGGAATTGTCAGATCTTAATGGGAAAAGCCTGACCCCATTGTAGGGGAGATCCCATAAGGAGAGATCAGAACCGATTAGGATGGAGTAGATCCCACTGAGAAGGGGAAGATCCCACAGGAAAATGGAGCAAATCCCACCATAGAAACCGGGCCCCGGGTGAGGCAGGGAGGGAGGAAGGAAGGGGCCCCCCGACCCTGATACCTGCGGGGTGCTGCAGAGCGGCCCGCAGGGCGCGGCAGGCGGCGGCACGGCAATCTTCGGGGCTGCCCGGGCTGTACCGGGCCGCCTGCACCGTACCGGGCGCTGGGAAGTGCCGCCGCAGCGCCGCGTCCAGCACCGCCGCGTCCTCTCCGTCCCCGCCGGGCAGCAGGACGCCCACGACGCCGGGCGGCGGCCCCGCGAGCAGGCGGCCGCGCACGTCCCGCACCACCTCCCGCAGGCGGGTGCGCGCTCCGCGGTCCCGCGCCGCCCCGCCGCCGCACAGCACCAGCAGCAGCCGCGCTCCCAGTGCCCGCCGCCCGCCGTCCGGCGCCCGCCGCGCCCGGCACCCCGGCACCGGCCCCGGGCACGGTGCGCGCGCTGCCTCGTCGCCCAAGAGGTCGCAGGCGAAGGCGGCCAGCGCGGTCGCCGCCGGGGCCCCCTCCGCCACCTCGGCCACTAGCAGTACTACCCGCCGCCCGCCCGCCCGCTCCACGAGCGCCCGCAGCTCCTGCAGGTCTGCCGCCGCCATCCCCCGCCGTGCTCTCTGTCCGGCCCGCATTCGCATGTTTCCCGGCCCCGGCTCCGCACCGCCCACTGGCCCACACCCGCCCCACCACTCTGCACCAGCCCCGGGCACCAGCCCCGGCCCCGAGCAGAGCAACACCCCGCGGCAGCGGAGCGAGGGGGTGTCAAGGGTCCCCCTGCTTCCAGCCCCGTCCCGGATTCGCACAATCCTGGGGAGTGAACAGCCCCTGCTTGCTGCCAGGTTGGCACAGCAGAGAAGCTAGTAAAGAGCTCCCTGATCTGCCACACGACAAGACTCAGAGCCCTCACACAGGCTGGTCTTCTTGCCAATGAGAACTTGATAAAATTCAGGCAGAAAACTGTGCTGTGGAGGGGCTCAAAAGGTGAGGGGGGGATGAGGAAAGGCTGTGGTGGCTGCAAAGTGGGACACACACGAGGTTATGATAGAGGAGCAGCTAATCATGTGTCCCCAAGGTGGCCCCTATGGTGTGTCATCTCATACCCCAGAGCAGCAAGAGTGGCCTCTCTGGCATCATGTGCACTATGCTGATGCACAGCCTGGCCAGGCTATAGCCGCCCCTGGAAACGATTCCCCTTTGGGAAACAAATAGTTAAACCCTCAGAGGGGGTCACAAGTGCACACCTGAGCTGCAGCCCTCATACCACCTGCTGCATGTGAATCCCTTCCCAAGCTAGTGCCCTTTGACTTTCCCTCTGCCACCTCCATGCAAAACACAGCCTGCAGTCACAGGCCTACAAGCATCAACATCAGTACATCCCATCAAAGCACAAATGTTTCCAGGGATAAGTGTGGAGCTTTAGTCAGGGCTTCAGTACTGGCACTTGTTACATGTATCTCTGCCAGCCAACAGTGAATGAAAGCCATTATGCCCAGCCCTGACACTTGATTGGGGAAGTTCCAATCCATGGCATGCAGTAAGTACTTCTCCTATGCCACATCAGAACAGGCTCCTCCAAACTAGTAACGTTTCATTGCAAGAACCTGGGAAGGGATAAACAACTCAAAGGTGTCAACAGCCAGTCACCTTGGCAAATTACTCTCTGAGGATTTTTGGAGCCAAACCATCTCTTGTGGGATGGGTGGAGGAATCTCTAAGTGTACTGGGTGTGAAAGCAGAACCAAAATCCACGTGTCTGTCCTGGATCAGTGATTCCCAACATGTATGTTTGGGTACACTCAGCCACAAATGTGGCTGTGCCGTTGTGCCTGCTGCCTGCCCATACTCACGGCCATCTGTCCCCAGAGCCCAACAGATCAGCAGACACAGCAGAGGGGATGTGCCACAGGTTGATCCCCAGACATAACAGTGGTGTGGCAGCTTGAGAAAGTCACAGTGTGCATCAATTTTAATCCAAGAAAAATATTACCGCCAGTATGGCAGGCTTAGCAAACACCCCCCTAGGCTAGCATGATGGATGAGGGCTTCAAGAGAGACTTTCTGCCCTGGGTCCTAGCAAAAGTAACTTACTCATGGATAAGTGCTGATAAGCAAATGGGACAGGGCAAAAAGAGGAAGGTAAAACAGAAAGATTGGGCTCCTCTTCCAAAGATCAGGGTCTGCAAGAGCCCATGCCCCCATGCCAGTGTGCTAGCCCTAAGATAGCTGTCAACATGGGAAGGCTACAAAGTCAGACATAATTCAGCAGCCAGGTCTGGACTTAGTGTTGCCCAGATTTTGTATTTACAAGGATTTTTTTCGCATCTGTTCAGAAGCCTGTTCATGATCCTATGGACAAAAGCTCAGGGTAAAATCAGCATCAAGAGTTGTGTCAGCAGCAGGAGAGGCCAGGATCATGTGCTGGTCCCCAGAAACCCTCATCTCTCTGGAAAACTGCCACAAGAATCCACAGAGTGTTTAAATTCCTCATGAGCTGCCAGCACAGCCTGTGGTGTGGTGGTACTGGTAAAAGCCTGACTGATGTGCAGACCATTACAGCACAGCTCTCACAGGGCTCTTCCAGAGGAGCACTATGCCAGTGACTTGTCTAGAGATGCCAGATGCCTCCAGCATTGGGAAGTTGGCTTTCTAGCTGGCAATTCCCCAGATTTATGAAGATAATTCTTGCAGAGAAGGTATAGAAAAAATTGGAGTTTTCCTCTTAACTCAGGTACACCTCTGGCTACTTCTGCAGTGGCCTTGGTATTCAAACTGCTAGCACAGCCACTAAAAACTAATATTTGGGACCACGTAGAGCTGTTCTTCATGACCACTGCAATTCTTTAGTTTATTTTAGGTACACATGTAACATTGCCAGCAGAGGCTGGTTGGAAAGGTGAATGTCACCCACAATACCCAAACAACCTTGTTTACATTTCTTCACTCATTAACAGGGGTAAGATCTAGCACATACAACTCCCTTTGTGTTACTTAAAGACATACAACTCAAACAGTTCAGAGGCAGTCATGAGCTCAGCAGCATTTGTAGTACTCCACAAAATGTCTTCAGAGCCCTGTCAGGAATCTAAGCAAGAACACAGATGTCGTTAGAAGACCTGACACTCCATGAAACATCCATCTGACAGTCACAATTGTAGAGAATCACTACAGACAGCCCTAAGTGGGGGTCATCACATCCCTTACATATGCCTGTAGCTGTCCAGAGCAGACAAAACATCTATTCATTTTTGACTTCAAAAGAGGAATTAAGATGCTTTACTCAGAGAAACAAATTTGGCATGTGTATTAGTAACGCCTTGAAACCTAAACAACAAAAAAACTGTCCACTGCATTAGAGCCTGCATTTACCAAGATTAACCTTTCTTCTGAAGAGCGTAAAAAGAAGACAGGGATAAAGGATTCTTGTGCCAGTTTTGATGATAGAAGAGCAGAGAGATTGAATGAGCAAGAAGGAATCTGTAGGAGTTGTTCTGAGTCTGATGTCCAGTGACCCAGCCCAGTTTCTTAAATTCTTCCATTCAGTAGCTTTGGTGCTCACAGGAACACACTTGTAAAAGCCTCTGAGCCAGAAGCTGGAACTGGCTGCAGACAAGCGAAGCCTCAACAAACCTTTGTGCATTTGCTCTTCCGCTGATCTGTTCTCTAAACTTGCTTCAATTATTACTTTTAAAAACACATTCTTACTAGATGCTGGAAAGCATCTGCTTTACTTGTGTAGCACTACAGCTGTTACCTGGCCATTGCTGCAGGGCACCAGCACTCACTGAGCTCTTCATCCATAGAGACCTACTTGGGTTGCCCAAAGAAGTAGCAGAGGAGATAATTGTGAGAGAAGAAAATACCCCAAACCCCACTCCTGCCCCCAACATCCCAGTCCCACTGATTCCCTTCTAGTCTGCCTCCTGTTCACTCCTCCATGGCTCTTCCTTTTTCATCCACTGACCCTTCCCCAGCTTCCTCTCAATCTTTCTGGCCCCTGACCAAACACCATCCCACTTTTCACTCACTGGAGCTTGAACTTTGTATAAAACCAGACATGAACCCTTTCTGTGACGAGTTCAGCCACAACTGAATCTAACTGGATGGTGACATTGTTCGGACCCAGGTCCCCTCACATCCCAGACCCAGCCTCCTCCAGGGCCAGCTGAGGCAGCCCCACTTTTGGTCCCAAGGCAGCTTGCCCTGCTAGATCCAGCTCAGCTCTGGCCTGGATCCATCCAAGTCATCACAGCCCTCTGGGCTCCACTCAGGGGAAGTTACGCCCCATAAGCAAATAAAGTTGGGAAGTCCCTGGCACCTACAGCTGCGACACAGCCTGGCTTCCTGATGGGGAACCTCAAACTTTCTTCTCTCTTTTCTCCAGAATTCTGTTCCCTCTAAAATTGCCCATCTCTGCAATTGTCCTAAGTTTCCTCATGTTTCCTTGAGTCACCATCCCCTTCTGGATGGTAGAGGGGCATAGGAAGGTATGGCTGAAGAGGAGGATGGAAACCTGGCACAGGGCCATGCACAGAGAGCCCAAAGCGTTGGTCAGTCCTGGTCACACCATAGGAGGGTTGTCCTTCCCTGCCCTCTTAGAGACAGATGGAGCCAGCCTATCAACCTATTCCACTCTTGGATCCTCCACAGGAAGATGTTAAAGAAGTGGCAACGAGTATGAAATCAGACCCAAGGACCAAGCTCCTTCTTCTGGCCTTTTTTCTGGCTGTCCTCAGCTGGATCCTTGCCTTTGGTTAGAAAACACGACTCAAGAGTAGATGTTCACAGCCCCTAGTCTCCATTCTTTCCCAGTACACACACACACACCTTCAACACCAACAGTCCAGCTTTTCTGCACTTACCTTTTGCAGCGTCTCTTAAAAATCACCTCAGACCTCACCAAGCTGGGGGCCAGTAGCACCACTGCATGCAGACACAGCCCCTCCTGCCTCCCTAACCCTGCCTTGTGCATTCTCCTATTTCCTTCTCACAAAGCCCCTTCTTGGCATGGCCAAGCTCCCAGGTTCTCAGAACTGCTCCCTTTTACAAGGCAAAGGGCAGATCCATAGCTTCCCTGGAGTTACTGGAATGAGCAGAGCAAATCAGTGTGGATCTGCCAAGTTTGCCAGCCCTGAAAGAGGCCACAAAGGGGCCCTTCTCTAAGAAGGCCCTTCTCTTCTTCACTCTAAGATTTCTCTGGATCTACCAAGGATTAGGTGGAGAATGCAGCAAGGGTGCAGCTTGAGAGCACCCATGGATGACCTTCTGCCTCCTCAGGTCTGTGGGTGACCACACTCCTTGTTGTCCCAGCCACACATTCCTGTGGCTATATCACTTGGCCTTGCAGGGCACTCCTGTGTTCCCAAGCTCCGGCCAGGATTTCAGCCACATCTCAGAATTTCTTCCCCCTTTCATCTTGACAGTGCTCCATATATCACCCTGCACAGAAGAGCCTGGACAAAGTACAAACATGCTGCCAGAGGAGAAACTTGAGAGCTGCATGGGCTATGCCTGGACTGGGTGGTTATCGGTGTGTTTCAGATGCTACAGGAAGTAACAGAATTCTCTTTGTGGCTTCTTGCTTTAGGGATGTCCTAATGTCCTGATCTTTTAAAGCCAAACTTTCTTCACTCACAAACAGCCTGAACATGTACATGTCTTGCTTTGACTCAAGGGAACTATTTATTCATTAGCTTGACCAAAAAACAGTCTTGTCAGTAATGAAAGGCAGAATTAATCTCGTGGAAAGTCTCTTCCACAACAGAGCAACTGGGTCACCTCATCCAAAAGTCTGCCAAGCACCAGCACCACCCCAACACTTACAACAAGGTTGTTTTGCTTCATAAAGCCACATCCTTAAGAACATGGAAAGAATCTGAATTTGAAAAATAACCTGGAGAATCCTTTTTCTGATAAACATTGTATAAAGGATCTGTACTGCCCTCAAATCCCACTCCTTCTGTACCATACTGCACAAACCTGCAGTTTCAGCAAGTTTTGCAGTCTTTGATATAAGCTTTAAAGCTTATATATACACACAGACATTAAGAAATAAGATAAATATCAGGTTTTTAATACTTTTTGGATGATAATGAAGATCTTAGGATGACAAAAGATCTACAAAAAACACCAGAGAAAAAATACATATAAACTCCCAATGCAAAAAAGTGCAACTACCTATAGTGCTTTACCATGCCCAGAGAGGATGGGAAATGAGTTCAGCTATTATGTGGGTAATTTGACTTAAAAATATTTTACTGCTCCCACAGTTCCTCCCATCCAAAATAACCCATCCCAGAAACTCAATCTGTTGGATGTGCACACATGTAAGGTCAACTCCCTGCTACAAAGAACCCTGGAGGGTTTCAGGAGCTTTGTTCCTCATGAGAACCATGTACCAAAGATTCCTGCATCCAGGTTCTCCTGGGAAAACATGGTCTGACACCTTAGTCTTGAGTTTCCCTGTTTCAGTTTTGGGTCAGTTTAAAATCTAGAGGCTTCTGGCCTGCTCTGATTCCCTCTCTGCTGACAGCTTTCTTAGGGACATTTTGATAATCACGCAAGACACTTAATGCAAAATAGAAATGCAGTGATTGTTGATAAAAGTTTCCCGAGGCAGATTGTTCAGCCAATGTAGCAAAGAGCTCCGAGCTTTGTGGCACGGACAGTGTGATGCTGAGGGCACACTGTCCCCTTCTGGTAGCAGCCACGCACTGAATCCCATCCATGCAGAAGGTCTGGGCAGACAAGCAAGTCAGCAGGAAGGAAGTGTTCTGCAAAGGGACATCCAGCAGGACAGTGCTAAAACCAACCTGACAGATTCAGCTGCCCAAGGAAGTTCATTCTCCATCTGTCTTTGATACCTTCTCTTGCCTACGTTCAGGCAGAACTCGGCAGTATCTGAGCTCCGGGAGTGAAATAACAAATGGCAGTCTGGTACAATAGAAAGAAGAAACAGGGGAAAGAGAAGGGATGATTACATATTTTTGGGCATCTTATGAATTTGATACCCACTCATATGAGTTTGGGTATCAAACTCACAAGGACTTACTACCTTTTCATCAGCAAACCAACTATATGGTAGTGACCACAGGCCTACAAACCTGCACTTACAATTAACTTTGCTCATTATATTTCCTCCTCCTTCCTCTGTAACACCTAAAGCTGGAAATCCCATCCATCCTCTTTTGAATCCAATGTGTCCAATGTATTGGTAGTTGTGGAAGACTAAAAGCCCTACCTGACATGGCCCAATATCCCATAAGCTGCAATTTTTCTACACAGGTTGAAAAAATGCAATTTTCCATAGCAAAGGCTCTGAAGGACAGCATTGGCAGCAGGCTTAGGTCTTTTAAGTCCAGCAAAATAATTTTTATACCAGAGCTGAGTAGCTGGGGCAAGTTTTTTAATTCCAGTTCAAAGTTTTGATTTACCCAATAGTGTATTCTGCACACACATCTACTCCACCTCTTTCAGAAGGAAGAGGATTAGATGTGAAATACCAGCCCACTACAGGAGAATTGCAAAGCCAACACTCAGAGGGCTCCATGACACACACTGGCAGCAGGGCCAGGCAGGGCGAAGGAAGCTCTCATGCCCTGGGAAGGAGGGACTGCACTGGAGTGGGCTCCGGATGCGGTTGAGCCAACAGACTCACCTGCCTGACTGACTAGGGATGCACTGAAAATGATGGAACTACTTGGTCTATGTGGAACTCCTCTCACAGCATATCCACAGGTCATTTTGGGACTGTGACATCAGCAGCAACCATGACAACTCGTACCTGCCTCAAACCTCCCTTTAAACTACCCAGTATTTTGGGGGGATTTTCAGAGATAAACTGAGCCTTGCATGTCATGACTGTAAATTCATTTTTCACCACCTTACTGTTCAGCAAAACTAAAAGGAAGTGCTGTAAAGATGCTCACTGCCCTACATGACATGCTGGGATAAGGCTGGCCAAGAAAACAGCGTTAACACTTGGGCACCACAGAGCCGTGCAATGAAAATGTGTTTAAATTATTTACACAAAGCAGACGCTACAGGCACACGTGCTGGCCAGGTACAGGTGGGGTCATTATCAGGGATTCTACCAGAACTACTGATGTGAGAGAGGCTTTGCACCTGCCAGGATTTAGTGTCTCTGTCTGTGCTGTCAACTCTGATACTACTGAGAAAGAGGTCTCTCAAAATTTGTGGAGGCAATAAAACCAGAAATATACAAAAGTTAAACAGAGTCTCCATTTTATTTTGAATAAAAATTTAGATCCTAGATGGATACAGCATCTGTAAAACACAAAACCAGACAGAATCACGTTAGAAATCTTCTATTCAAACATGAGTTTTGCAGTTACAATCTAGACCATGAATCTCTTCAACTGCTATTAAAGCAATCCCCAGTTTATACAGAAGAGGTGTGAGAATGACTTGCAGGAGCACTTCACTGGTGACACAGACACCATGGCAACTAGCCCTCCTGTGCACCAACAAGAGTTCCCATGGCTCTGGATTTCAGGAATTATCTGTGCTGCTCCTACTGTGCTTTTTCTAAGGCACAGGAGAAAGACAGAAAGGACCACACCCCTCTTGTATTCCTTTTGACAATATCACTACGAAAATATTACATCACAACTCTAGGTGAGAGACCTAAACGGATAGTCCCACTGAAGCCCTGTGGCTAAAACACCAACAGTGGGAACAGGTGGAAGTGGCCATGACAGGACAGCACTGCTCTCAGTTAAAACATTTGGGAAGTAAGAGAAAAATCAAACAGGTAAAGGAGTAGAAGGGTGCAAAAATATGCAGAACAGATGGTGGAAAAGAAATCAAGGCAGCTTTAGACAGGAGCCGAGTCCTGGAACTTTAAAAGCCTTTCCACACAACCTGAGCAAGCACACAAACCCCTGATAACAAGACAAACCCCCTCAGCACAGGAAGGCAGCAAAAAGCCTCTCTAGGCTCCAAAACAAAGTCACTGAGCCATGCTGAACACCCAACAGCAACAGAACAAAAGCAAAGTTCAAATGTTCCCTCATATTATAAGGAATTTAGAAGGCACCCAAAAACTGCCAATAAGTATCTTGTTGCTAAACCAAACCCACTTACCACCCGGATTCTGTGTCCAATGGCCTTGGCAGGCAGGTTGGAGCGGAACTTGGCACGCACCATGCCACTGTTGCCATGCGCGCGGGTCACCTTCCCCCAGATCACGCGTGTCCTGTTGGGTTTGCCTCCGGGGGTTACCGTGTTGCTGGGGAAAAGGAGCCCAAGAACAGCTCAGCAGGGCAGTCACAGCTCTGCTGTACCCAGCACTGACAATGTGGTCTCTCTACAGCACTTCAATAATTTAGCTCCACAGCCATCTTTAACTAGACCAATGTCCACTTTTATTTACTTGTGATATTTTCCCAGCCTGGGATTTTCACTGTACCTTTCAAAGGTGTAATTACAGCTTGACAACTATTAACAGCTTACAAAGCTCAAAAATTTGGAAAACACTTTTGCTAACATACCAGTTTGATCAATTTTATTCAAGATAATTCTGCACACTAACAACAGCAGTCAAGAAAAAAAAAGGAAGTGGAAGCAATAAGCAGCTGTTCCCAAGGTGTCTATCAATGACAGCAGAGCAGAAGTGACAGACAGTGCTCAAACATGGGCACATGAAAGTCAGAACACAAATTCACCCAGGCTTCACAAAATCACTCTACTGTTTAAGTAACTGAACAGTTCAAAGTATTTAACACAAATTCACCCACTTCAATTTACTCCATCACCCAACCTTCAGTTTTTGTCAGTCTTAGGCAAAACTTGTTTCTCATCCCATTTGCTCTCTTACATATCATGTAGCATCATGATCTCCTAGCATTTACAAAACCAACACAAGCATTGGCTAGTTCAGCACAAGAATACAACATTACTTACTTTTTAGCTTTGTACACATAGGCACACCTCTTGCCCAGGTAGAAGTCTGTCTCCTGACGGGCATAAACACCTTCAATTTTCAGAAGGGCCGTGTGCTCCCGCTGGTTTCGGAGGCCACGTTTGTAGCCAGCAAAAATGGCCTTGCACCACAACCTAAAGACATGGAAAATACCTGAAAATTATAACTCACTTCCAAATAACAAAAATAAAAACTAATCACAGGCTCTTTCAGCAGGAACTAATTCCACACCAGTAGAAATCAGCAGAGGAAATAGCTGACTTTTACAAATCACTGCAAATACTTACATCAATGAACAGAGCAAAGCTGAGTATGTGGAACTTGAAGTATTTATGAGAATATTACACTTTTTGCTTGTCATAAACTCCTGGCACTACAATACTGGCTTCATACTAAGATTCAAATACTCCAGCATTAGCAGATATTATTTCTAAATGTCTACTAACACTGATGAGTAAACATTACTTTTTTTTCTACACACCACATGAAATCTCCCGTGTTGCAGTAACTGCTATAGAAGGTATGAACTGACCCTGATTTGTAGCCTCAAAGGAGGAGCCAGAGCAACAGCCTGACATCCACTGGGCACAGACATTACACAAACTCCTCAGCAATTCTTCAGGACACCTGCACTGCCCATGTAAGGTCATTACAGGACCTGTCCCACACACCGAGCAGCCACAGCACATCTGGCCCAGGGGCATCCAGCACCTGCTCTGGGATACAGCAGGATCCAACTGGGATATCCAGTTCTACCTGCCACACGTGCAACAGGACAAACTCCACACATTAATGTTAGGACATAAAGCTGGGATTCACAGAACCATCGAAGGGTTTGGGTTGGAAGCGACATTTAAGACCATCCAGTTTTGACTCTCCTACATAGGCAGGAACACCTCACGCTAGATCAGGCTCAAGAGTCCCACCCAGCTCGACCTTGAACACTTCCAGGGATGGGGCAGGCACAGCTTCTCCAGGCAACTCCACAGTATTCACATTTAATCCCTTCACTTACGAACTCAATCCCCACATCCTTTAAGAAAATTCGGCAGCACAACAGAAAATTTACCCATGGGAAAAACATGTTGCTCCCTTTACTCAAGGAAACAGTTTATGTCAAAGCTCCACTGCACACTGGAGATTAACAAACACTGAGCTAACAAACCCACAAATTTCACACTGATATTTACTGACAGGCCAAGGAGAGCGTGGCACACCGTAACAGCAACTAGAACCAGCTCAAGAAATTTCAGAGCAGGGACACACAACTGCAGGCGTTCCACAGGGCCCAGCAGGACGCTGGGCAGCGCAACACCGCTCACTGCCCTGCTGAGCAAACGCTCCCAGGAACGCTCCTACAGCGCTGCAGCAGCGAGCCGAGCGCCAGCCCGGCCCTCACTCACCTCCCGGCCATGGCGTCCTCCCGCAGAGCCGGTCCCGGCAGGCCTGGAAACGACACACAGCCGTGAGCCGCGGGCCGGCATCTCCACCCGGCCCGGCCAGCGAGACCCCGAGCACCCGGGGGCTGCCCGGCAGCCTCCGCTCCGCACCTCAGCAGCCGCCTCAGCCCCGCTCCAGCCCAGGGCCCCAACCCGCCACTGGGACCATCCGCCGCGCATCGGCGCCATCCCGCCTCGTCCCCGCCCTAAACCGCGCCGTCCGCCGCGCCCCGGGAGCCCCGCGCCCGCCGGCGGCCCTACGGCGGGGGCACCGCCCCCGGCCCTGCTCCCGGCCCCGCTCCCGGCCGCGGCCCCGCTCCGCCTCACCCCCAGCGCCCCAAGATGGCGGCGAAAGAGAGCCGCGCCCCGCTGCCTGCCGGGAAATGAGCGGCCAGGACCCGAGCGGGCAGCCGAGCGCTGCCGGAGTGAGCGGCACCGGGTTGAGGAAGATACCGCCCGGCCCCTGTCCGTGTCCCCTGTCCCGTGTCCCGTATCCCGTGTCCCGTGTCCGCGATCCCCGCAAGAGCGATCCCAGGAGGGGCGGCCACAGCCCCGCTGCACAGGCACCCGCGGGGCATCCCCGCGAGGCCCCGAGCGCGGTGGTTGCCATGGAGACGAGCGGCGCGTCCCGGTGAGGGCGGGGCCGAGACCGGGACCGGGACCGGGACCGGGATCGGGATCGGGATCGGGATCGGGATCGGGATCGGGATCGGGACCGGGATCGGGATCGGGATCGGGATCGGGATCGGGATCGGGACCGGGACCGGGACCGGGACCGGGACCGGGACCGGGATCGGGACCGGGATCGGGATCGGGATCGGGATCGGGACCGGGACCGGGATCGGGATCGGGATCGGGGGAAATAAGGGCAGATCCCGGTGAGAGGTTGAGGGGAGCCCGGGTCGGTCTAGGCAGGGCGAATGAAAACGGGCCGCGGAGCCCGAAGAGAGGCAGCGCGGGAGGAGAGAGCAGCCCTTGGTGCTCGGGGCGGCTCCCGGCCGGCCCTGCCCGTCCGATGTTCTCACCCCGAGTCAATTAATCATCTCGGCATTTAGTTTACTTCTGATATCGCCTTGGAGGCAGAAAACATATTTCGACACTGAAATCCCTGTAACCAAGTCTCACATTCCTTTATTTTACTAAATAAGATCTGGAAGCATGTACTTACCCATTTGCTCACGTCAGGGTTATTAAATCCCGATTTCTGTCACTTCCCTCACACTGCCAGAAATTCTGGTGCATTTTCAGAGCGCT